GGTTGAGATCATCAGTGAGCTCCATATATCTGGTCCACACACACTGCATACTGTTAGCAAAGATGTTTTAATAAGTAAACGCTGCTTCCTGAATCTCATTAACAGAAACTCTGACTTAGTCTGGTTTTTCTTTTCTTTTTTCTTTTTTTTTTGATAGGGGGAGGTAATGAGGCTTATTTATTTTTTTAGTGGAAACACGGGGAATTGAACCCAGGACCTCATTCATGCTAGGCATGCTCTCTACCACTGAGCTATACGCTCCCCCTCCCGACTTAGCCTGTTTTTAACATTAAATAGGGGTATTTTCAGAAGCAGTCACTAGATATTTCTGAAGTATATGCAGTAATTTGGTGACCCACAAGACTAAACATTTAAGAACATTTATAGCTTTGTCACTGTACTCCTCTAAAGAGTCATTTGTCATAGTTCACCTGCCTTCCATCAAATGAAGTCCTGTCTAGTAGAGCCCACTCATGTCACCTGTTGCTTTTTCACCACCATTTCCTTAGTTTAGATATTTTTAGTCTCTGTCTAAACTAATCTTTTTCCTTTATATTTTCTACTTCCGAATAAAGAACTACTCAGTATATCCTGCATGGTTAAACATCATTGTAATACGAGTGAATTAATTACATACGCTTAACCCTGATATAGGAACCCCAATAACATTGCTCTAAATTTTTCTAAGCAACTCACTCATTACCTTCTTACAGTTCATGTACATTGAAACAATGCTAATACTTGCTATTTAAAAAAGTATATTCCACAGTTCACTTGTGTGTGATATTAATGTATTATCCTATGCCACAAAATACCTCTCTTAATATTGAAAACTAGCCATGTGTCAAATAATGTTCTAGTCTACCTTTTTTATGAAAATTTTATTAATCTTATGAGCCTAATGTAATTGCTTTGCCAATTAATTATACCTAGTGCAACACATGTTGCTCAACTCTAGTAGTTATTAAGTATGATTATAGAATGTTATTATATACCTCTGTTATATTAAATTACTTCTTTTATTTTCTTTAGTAAGTTGCAAGTACTCTTAGGGCAAGGAAATGTCTCAGTCATCTTCATATTTGTACTTTACCTAAACATTCTCTTCCAAATAGAAGTATAAATGATATTTATTTGAGGTGAAATAAAAAATGAATAATAAAGTAAACATATAAGTGCTAAGAGTACTTTTCTTGACCAATCTAAGGGAGAATTAATCTGAAAGGATGAGATAAGTATAATTGTTAAGATATTTACAAAGTAGATTTTTTTCTTAAATGCTAATTCATGAATTTTATTAAATTAACCTGATAGATAATGGTCATGTCAAAAAATGTTTTTTTTTATTTTTGTTATAAAGGAAACATGTAAAAGTTGTAAAACTCAAATTTTGTAGTAAACAGCAATTAGGTATTAACCCAATTTTCCCTCATTTTTATGTTTATTTTTACCTACTGATTAGTTTGAATATTTAGCCTTTTGACTAGATTTTTCAAAGTAGCAAGAAATACTAAAATGTAAAACTAGTAGAAATCCCAAATACTAATTTTATAGGCTTATTTTCATTTTTGATATTTTCTTGAGTTAGCAACTGGACTAAATTTGCAGGTAGAAAAGCAATATACTGTATTACTAAGGCTGTGAAATGACTAAATCAGTCTATCTGATAGTTTCCTTGTAGTCAGTCGAAGTGATCGTATGGAAAATAGGCTGATACAAAGTTATGTTGTTAATGGCATGAGAAAAACATTACAGCAATACTGCAGAATTCTTTTGCTTATATCACAACCCTTTGTATTATGATATTTATGTAGTTGTGAGCTCATAGTCTGAGGGTAAAATGAAAATATTGAAAACTATTTGAAGTCAAGTGGTGGGAAATGAATGTATACATCTCTTTTCAAAAGTATAGGGAGATGGGTTCTATCCACATTGTATAAAACAGTCAAAAATTCTGATCCATTATGTCAAATAATTTGAACGTTGTACACATATATTATACTCTTTATCAAAGTGAACTTACTGTTCTTTGTTTATTCTTGAAGGGCTGCAAGTACTCCTTCCAGACTACCTTCAGGAGCGTTTTGTACAAGCAGCTTTGAGCTACATTGCTTGCAATTCAGAGGGAGAATTTATCTGCAAGGACAATGACTGCTGGTGTCATTGTGGTCCCAAATTTCCAGAATGCAACTGCCCCTCCATGGACATTCAAGCCATGGAAGAGAATCTTCTTCGAATAACTGAAACCTGGAAAGCCTACAACATTGACTTTGAGGAATCAGGTAAGACATATATTTTAATGTAACCATTTGAAATTTTTTCTCAAAAATTGCTATGTTGAGAAGAGTATTTTACTCTTTTGGAAGAAACTCCTACATACTTGGATTGAATTTATTCAATTTATTCTTCTTATTGTTTCAAATGGACATGTGTATTGCTTTTATTACTGGTTATTCAGTATTTTTATTGAATTTGATTTGCATTTCTCTAATAATTAGTGATGCTGAGCATCTTTTCATGTTCCTGTTGAACGGCATTATGTCTTCTTTGGAGAGATGTTTTGTTAGGTCTTCTGCCTGTTTTTTGATTGAGTTGCTTTTTTTGATATTGCATTGTATTAGCTGTTTACATACTTTAGATATTAACCCCCTGTGGGTCACATAATTTGAAAATACATTCTCCCATTCTGTAGGTTGTCTTTTCATTTTGTTGATGTTTTCCTTTGCTGTGCAAAAGCTTTGAAGTTTGATTGTGTACCACTTATTTTTGCTTTTATTTATTTATTTTTTACCTTGGGAGACTAATCTAAGAAACTATTGGTATGATTTATGTCCCAGAATGTTTTGCCTAAGTTCCCTTCTAGGAGTTTTGTAATGTCATGTCTTATATTCAGGCTGTTCAACTGTTTGGAGCTTATTTTTGCATACGGTGTGAAGGAGTGTTCTAATTTCATTGATTTATATGCGGCTGTGCAGCTTTCCAAACATCACTTGTTGAATAGACTCTTTTCTCCATTATGTATTCTTGTCTCCTTTGTCATAGATTAATTAACCATACATGTGTGGGTTTATTTCTGGGTTCTCTATTCTGTTCCACTGATTTATATGTCTGTTTTTGTGCCAGTACTATGTTGTTTGATTACTGTAGCTTTGTAGTGTAGTCTAAAGTCTGGAAAGGTTCATATTGTAATTCTTCTCTTGTTCATTTCTTCTTTTTCTTTCTCCTTTTGTGGTTTGATAACTTTCTTTTGTATTATGCTTAAATTTTATCCTTTTTGGTTTTTGTGAATCTATTATTTGTTTTTGATTTGTGGTTACCGAGGAGTTTAAGTATGTTGACCCATAATTATATCTATTTGCTTTAAACTGATAGTCATACAAGTCCAAACACTATCTAAAAGATATACATGTTTACGCTCCCCTCCTCCATATTTTGTGATTTTGATGTCTTATTTTACAATTTCATGCTTATCCTTTTGCTGTTAATTGTAGTTATGGTTGCTTTTACAGGTTTTTTGATTGTTTTAAAATCTACGCACTGGCTTATTTAAGTGATCTTCAATCCTTTTATATATTTGGCTTTGCTATTGTGATTTTCTCTTTTCAGTAGATTCCTGCTTCTTTTTTATTTAGATAAGACCCTTCAATATTTCCTTTAGGTAGGTTTAGTGTTCTTTAATGTAAATTCTTAATTTTTAAATTTTAAATTCTTTAATTTTTGCTTGTCTAAACAATTCTTTCCTCTATTCTAAATGATACTCTTGCTGGGTAGAGGATCCTAAGTTGCAAGTGTTTCCCTTTCAGGACTTTCAGTACATCATGCCACTCCATTCTGGCCTGCACAGTTTCCTTAGAAAGATTAGCTAATAGCCTTGTGAAGGTTCCCGTGTCATTGCTTCTTTATTTTTCTTTTGCTGCCTTTCAGAATCTTCTCTTTAACTTTTGCTGTTTTAATGATGATATGTCTTGGTATGGTTCTGTTTGGGTTCATCTTGTTTGGGACCTTCTGTGCTTTGCTTCCTATACCTAGATATCTGTTTTCTTCTTTGGGTTTGAGAATTTTTTAACCATAATTTTTTCAAAAACATTTTCAGTTCCCTTTTCTCTCTCTTCTGCTTCTGGGACCCCTATTATGAATAGGCTGGAATGCTTTATATCACCCCATATATCTCAGATATCACTTTCATTTTTAAAAAAATGTATCTTTCTGTCTGCTGTTCTGATTGGATGATTTCCATTATTCTACCTTCCAGACCACTTACTCATTTTTCTGTGTCATTTAGTCTGATACTCATTGCTTCTAGATTGACTTTTATGTTGACAATTGAATTGTGCGATTTTGATTGGTCAGCTTCATCGATTCTAGTCCTTTGTTGCAGTGATCTGCGTTTCTACTGATAATCTCTCTTAATTCCTTTAGTCTTTTTATTACTTCCTTTTTGAACTTGTGGTCTAGCAGACGGGTGAGGTCTGCTTCACTCTTTGTTCCTTCAGGGAATTTCTCTCGTTCTTTTAATTAGGAGTAGGTCCTCTGCTTTATCGTTCTACTTAACCTTCTCTATCTCTGTGAATTTAGGGGAAACAGTGGCCTACTGTGGTCTTGGAGGAGTGTTTTAATGTAGGAGTGTCCCTGTGTAGGTTGTGTCCAATATTTTTAGTTCAAGGGCTGGTTTTGGTATGGCATATCTTTCCTCAGAGTGTGATGGCTGTTGTCCCCTTGATAGGGGATGTGATGGGTGCTGTGGTGTTTAGAGTCTGCACTGGATGTGAGGCGGGGCCTCCTCTTTGCTCTGTGGCTGTCACCGCCCCATCAGGGGTGGGTCTACTTCCACACTGGTGAGAAGCTCTGAGGGTTGGGCTCAGTCAGGCTCCATTGCCCTTGAGTGCATTCCCTGCACCAAAGGGGGTGATTGCTGAAGCAAATGAAGCCCGTATGGTCACAGAGACTTATGAGCAACCAGTGTAAGCATCCATGGTTCTGCTCAGAAACAGCCTAAGGTCATGTCCTTTCCTCCATTGTGTTTGTCCCAGATCTAGTGCAATGTTGTGGTGAGGACTAGGGACTAGGCTGGGGCTGAGGGGTTGGGGTGTTGACTGCAGGAATTGACATGGCTGTGCTATCACCTGGGACTTGGGCTGCCTCTGTGGCCTACCTTTCCCAGGACCTGTTCACCCCAGATCTGGTGTTAAGCTGTGGAGCGGAGTTCGCAGAGCTGAGGCACCCCTACTCCTGCCCAGGGCTTGACCACCCAAGAGTCAGTGCTTAGCTGCTGTGTATTCTTATGACATTGCCCTGTGCACAGACTGTCAGCATCTGCGCAGCTTGCCCCACACCCCAACGTGTGTGCTGACACTGGTCTCTGCATTTCTGCCCAGATCACACCCCTGGAGCTGTGGTATGTCTCTGGGCAACTAGACTAAGTCTTTGCCCTGATCTCTCACCAAGCTGTGGTGTGGAGTGAGCAAGGGCATCTGCCCCTTCATATTGGGAAGCGCAGTGAGGCAGCAGCTGCCAATGCAAGTCTCTCTCCACTCTGATTATTAGCAAGCCAGCAAGTACGCACTCTGCGAGCAGAGTCTTGGTTTCTCCAGCCCTTCTAGCTGTCTCAGTGGACATCCCAGCAGGCAAGACCGTTCTAAACGACAAGGGTCTGCCCATGTGGACCTTCTCTTCCTTACAGATCCCTCCTGGAGGGCCTGTCCTGACCTGATGCCTTTTTTTTTTCCCTTTCTACCTGGCTGTATGGGGGTCTTTCTCACATCTTTGATTGTATAGGAGATCTTCTGCCAGTTTCCAGTTAGTTTCTATGAGAATTATTCCATAAGTAGATACACATTTAATGTGCTTGTCGGGGAGGTGAGCGCCACGTCCTCCTACTCTGCTGTCTTGGTCCCCCTCCTATCCAGTGTTTTACCAAAAGCACATATGGTACTTTGTGTATCTCTCTCTCTGGAACTTAGGCTGCTCTCAAGCTGACTTATTAGTCAGTTATAACAAGGAAGTCCTTATCTTTCTCAGTACAGACATTACCAGCTGATACCTCTGATGTCTTTCTGGACTATTCTGATGGCCCCTGAGTTCCACTGATGAGGCTAGATACAGAGAGAAATTATTGTGAATTTTCTTTACATTAAGCTGAATCTCATGAATGTGCACATTCTTGTAACTGCTTCTTTTTGAACCAAATTTAGATAAATTTGGATTCAATGATGCTATGGGTTTTGTTATTCTCATTTCTGAGTTTTTGTGAGTGCATATATGTGTTTTCAATACTGTTTCTTTTTGACTACATAACCTGTAATAGCCTTCATGTCAAGAAGCATTGAACTTTAACAAAAGATTAAGGATGCCTCAACATGAAATTAAAATATTGATAACAGCATATGCAATAATTCATGATAATATAATAATAAAACCCCCAGAATGTGGTAAATATAATTATGTAGCATTTAGTCAAAAGTGTTGATCATGACTAACTTTCAAAGAAGTAAGAGAGGTGCTAATTGCCAAGAGGACAGATTTATATGCTTGAATGTTGTAATTTTTCCAGTGATTCATTTAACCAAACACACTTAAAAAGTGACAATAAAATTCAACATACGTTCACAATAAAAACACTTAATTTAGGCAGAGAAAGAACATATCTCAACATAATAAAGGCCACATATGACAAGCCCACAGCTAACATCAGACAAGAAAAAAACATAATTGATGGTTTCAACCCTCACCCTTTTGCACAGTACACCATCAAATTATAAAATAAAAGGATAGGTAAATAAATTTAGGAAAAGTTCATAGATTTAGTTTTTTTAAAAGATTATTTCGATCAGAATAATGCCTACTAAATAATCCTCCTCAATTTTAGTAATATTTCTATTTATATAAATAGGAAAAACTTCCTAGAATCAAAAATCCTTATCTCCTTGACACTGTTGGAATGAATTTCTAATCTCAAATTTTGTCTTTCTAATTTTCCCAATAGAATACCCAGAAGTAATGTATTAGGTAGCTAATATTTTATTTTTAAGTAGAAGCATCTGATAATTAAAAATAATTATGAAATACAGCACTCTTAAATTACAAAGTATACTTGTCTTTTGAGGGTCAAACTTAAAAAAAAAAATAGAAACTTCTGTCTACATATCACAGTGTATGATGTGTTAAACCAGGGGATCTTATGAGCCCCGAATTTGTGGAACTCACGCAGGAAAGCTACCCCTGTTATTTTGCTTGGAAGGGATATTTTAAAAATCACCAAATGAACATTGGGGTTTTTATTTCCAGGTGAAATGTAGTAGAATGAAGTAAGCTAATATGTCTGTTAATAGTAACTAGAAAGTTGAATGATTTTTTAAATTGTATTTTTAAAGACGTAATAGTTCATAAAAGCAATGCCAACTAAATGGACTAAAATTCCTGGCATGAGATGTAAACTAGGAATTCATAGCTTTTCCTTCCTTCCTTCCTTCCTCTCTCCCTCCCTCTCTCTCTCCTTCTTTCTCTCTCTCTTTCCTTCTTTCTTTCTTTCTTTTCTTTCTTTCTTCCTTCCTTTCTTTCCTTTCTTTCTTTTTATGCATTAATGTATTTAATTCTGTAAACAGAGGCTGAGGGCTCTGCGTCTCCTCAGGCTGAGAGCAGCTAATGGGAGAAAGAAAAAGCCACAAAGCTTCTCGTGGTTGTGGGGACGAGTGTGACAAAACTCAGTGGGCCTAAAGACATCTAGTTTTACCACAGGATATTTGCTGAATTTCAGATGGTGCTTGATGCCAAAGAACTATTCCACAGCCTGTGCAAACAGAATGAAGTTTACCACAGGTTTTCAGGTGCTTAAGAGATCAAAACTCTCTAGAGAGAGAAGCTTGAAAATAAAACAAGCAAGGACGGAAAGCCCTAGAGAGAATAAAGCAGTGACGCCGTGTTTCTGCAGCTGCTCTTCCCTGGGGCACATTTGTCAATCAGGACAGAGCTCAAGGCTGGGAAGCTAGGATTAGCCCCTGGAAAAGGCTGCTGTGCCAGGACAGGGGGATCAGAAGACAATTTTGCAGTCACGGTGGATTGACATGAGAAATTGGAGGCTTAAGGAGTTTTTAATATACGACCAGTCTCCTGTTTATGACATTTGTCTTAACCTGGGGCAGATGACTAACAAGATAAACTACAAGCCTCTGAATGATAGAATGGAGTCTTCGGCAGGGTTACAGGCCTGAAGTAGCAAATGCTGCAGGTCCTTAATTGAAAGTTCTGAAGGGCTGCACCCTAAGAACAGGGAAGAATCAGAGGTAGATTGAGTTCTATGCAGTTACAACCCAGCCCTGATGCAGCTCAAATCCTCATCCTAAGGCGGTGATCCTAAAAAGACCAGTTCCCTCTGGTGTCTGTTACATATGAAGAGGGTGACCTCTTGAGGAGGAAAACATTTTCTAAAACCTCTGCCATTCTTTTTATACACGATGGACATAGGATTCTAATTTACAATGTATGTGAGCAGACAAAACCTCATGGCCGATACCAAGGAGAAAAGCAACCAGGTAGCAGATGTGAGATGATCCAGATATTGAACTTATTAGTAAGAATGATTTTCAGATAATTATTATTCAAATGTCAAAAAAATCAGAGGAAAGGAAGGATAAAGTAGATGCTGATATTGAAAAGCTCACCAGAGATCGGAAACCTCTGAAACTGGAGTAAAGGACATTGTAAAACATAGAGAATGCAGTATCTGAAATTAATAGCTCGAAGTTCTGTTTTAATAGGACTCCTGGCACAGTGGATAAACAGTGAGGGAACAGGAAGACAAGTTAACAGAACAGACAGAACGAGGCAGTGAGAAAAACAAATGCCGGATAAAGGGATGACAAGCAAGTGAGACACACATAAAAGTCTAACATATTTTAAAATTTGAGACACGGGGAAAATGGGGGGGGATGGTGTAAACCATATGCAAAGATGTAGTGGGTACAAAGGTTTTAAAACTGAAAACATACAGTTTCAACCTACAGATTCAAAAAGCACAACAAACACAAAGAAAGAGAAGGACAAAGAAAACCACTGAGAGGCATAGCATTGTAAACAGTTGGAAAAAAGATAGAAAAACGTATTCTAACTAGAGAAAAATAAGAAAGACATTACTTTCATTGGACCAATGATAAGCCTGACTTATCAAAACAAAAACAAAACCGGATTTTGACATCTTTGAAATGCTGAATGAAAATAACAATTAATCTAAAATTAGGTACTGCTGCACAATATTTTAAAAAGTGGAGGTGAAAATAAAGATGTGTTCAGACAAGAAATGCTACATTAAAACATGGAAATGCAAAGGGGAAGAGGAATACTAGAAATGACAAATATGTGTAGGTATAAGTGAATACCAACTGTATAAAATATTAGTTGTGATGTGATGTGGAAACAAAATATATGTAGGATCCCAATATAAGACAATAGTGTAATCATGGGTGGTGAAAGGAAATAGTTAATATTCTAAGTATTTCAAGGTCCTGGCAATGTGTAGGATGTGCTAAGTGATGTAATTTGCATTAGAGATAAATATATATTATAGTCTCTGGGATATCTACTAAAATAAAAAATATTTAATTAAAATCAATACAGTACAATAAAATACAAATTACTTATTTACTCCATGATATGACAATAAAATAGAAAACAGGAGAAATATCACCTGGGTCATGCAGATCAAGGCAGTGGGAAGAGAAAGGTTTGGACTGTCTTTTCAGTAAATTGTGTTGGGTCAGATATGATTCCCCTGTAATGGTTATTATATTAAATATTCTTTTTTTCTTATTACATTTAATAGTCTAAATAAAAGACTAATACCATAAGATTGGTAATTAATAACAGACATAAATAGGAGACTATTTGCTGTTCACTGTGGGCATGGATATGCCGAGGTTAAGTGGTGGAAAAAGATGTGATTACTAGACAAAAAATCTACAGTAAATTTGAAAGCAAGATACATTGAAATTAGAAAACTATTTCCTAATAATAAAATAGTCAATCCAACGGGTTTGTACATCATACTTGTTAATGTATATGAACAGCAAAATAAAACTTGCATCACACCAGCTAGATAGGCAAGTAAGACCACTCAAGACTATTGAAATAAAGGAGAGAGGCTTACAATAAGGAATACTGAACTCAACTCCTCTGATACAAAGGGCAGGAGGATTTTTAAACCACTGAGATTAGCTCATGGAAAAATGCTAGAGGACATTAGCGGGCAGGGTGGTCAACGAGCTTCGCCCGTCTGTATTTGCTAATTGTCCCGTGTTGAAGTTGGTCTCCCAGTTTCCCACAGAGACTGGGAGCTGAGTGTGCCGTCTCATTTTCCTTTGATGATTACAAGCCAAAAGGTTGACTCCCAGATCCTTGAGAAAGACATTTCCGGTTTTGTAGAAGATTTACGTCTTTAAGGGACAGAGGAATACTTTACAATTGCAAGTTTTCTGAAGGAAAGGGAAGTCGGGAAGAAGCCTGTTTAAAGTTTAGTGAAGCAGAGGGGAGTGTTGAGGCCCTCTTGCTCAATCCCCAAAAGCAAGCCCCAGTGAAGAAAAACTGTCAGAACTAAAAGGAACAAAAGACACATAGGATCATAGTGTGAGGCTTTAACATACTTCTTCAACGGGTGAAAGAACAAACAAACTGACTATCAGTGAAGGTTTATTGAATCTGAAAAGGAAGTGAACAGATTTGACTAAAATAAAATAAACAGAACACTCAACAACAAAAATGCAGAATCCATATTTTTCCAGTGCTCATGAAATATCTACCCAGCTTTGCCAAATGCTGGGTCGTAGTGTAAGCCTGAACAAACTCCAAGAGTTTGAAATCGTTTAGAATATGTTTTCTGACCACATCGGAATCCAGCTGAAATCAGTCACTAGAAGATGAACAGGCAGACTTCATCTGTCTGAAACTTAAATGCTAGGCTTCTCAATAATCTATGAAAAAGAAGTTAAGTCAAAAGTTTACGTCAATGAAGAAAATGATTTAAAAAAGAAAATATGTTGAGCTGAACAGTAAAGAAAACAGGACAAATCAGAAGTTACGTAATGCAGGTCGGAAACTGTTTGGGGGGAAAGTCGTAGCCTTGAGGCATAATTTAGAAAAGGACGTCTGGAAATCAAGGACGTAAGCCTTTACTGTAAATATTCCAAAAAGGAATAATATTCCCTTTAATTTGAGAGGAGGAACAAAGACAACAGCGGAAGTTAATGTGATCGAAAGCATTTGGCAGATAGAGAAAATCCAGAGTCAAATGCTGGTCCTCTGAAAAGATTAACAAATCTAGTAATTACCAAAAGTAATCAGGAAAAAAATAAAAAAAAATACAAAGTTGTAATGTCAGGAATGTGAAAGGATGAATCAATAGAGATACTACAGAAATCGTAAAAATTGTATGAGGACATTATGAAGAACTTTACAGCAATAATTTTACCAGTTTTGGTGAAATAGACACGTTTCTCCAAAAGTAAATTTACCAAACTTGACAGAAAAGGAGATGGAAAATCATTTATTAAGACACCGAATGTAAAAGTAGCCCAAAAATATCAAATATGTTGAAATAAATCTAACAAAAATGCATGTTTTAGAGATATAAAATATTTCTACACTGAAAAAGATAAAATATAATTGAGGAAAAAGTGGAAGACCTAAGTTAAGGGCCATATCATGTTCGTGGATTGAAGACTCAAAAGGTAAAGATGTCAAGTTTTCCCCAAATGACCTATTCAGCACATTTCTAATAAAACATCTTATAAGTCTTCTCCCACACCAGAATTGGCAAGCTTATTCTAGAATTTATATAGAAATACAGTAGACCTAATATAGCCAAGACCATCTTAAGTAGGGTAAATCTGGGATAACAGTAGATACTTAAAGCCCACAAATGATGAGAAATTAAGAATAGACATACTCTCCAATGGAAGAGAAGAGTGGACAGAAAACGATCTCCTGATTTATGCTTAAAGGGGCCCTGTGGTGCCGAGGGAAGGGAAACAGTATTTCCCCTAAATGGTGCTGGACACTTGGATGTCTGTATGGAAAGAAAATGAGTCTTTGCTTGTCACACCAAAAAATTCAAACCCAGACTGATTGCTGATCTGAATACAAAGAGATAAAAAGAAAAGTGAAAGCTTTAGAGGAAAGCATAGGAGAAGATCTTCCTAAATAAGCAAAAATGTCATGAACAGAATTCCAAATAATAAATGTGAAAGACAAAAAATAAATCTGAATCCAGCAAGACTTAAAACTTCTATAATCAAAAGACAGCAGGTAGAGGCACTCTGCAGAAAGGGAGAGTGTACTTGCAATACGTTTGTCAAACAAAGAACTGCTATGGAGTCTATCTATAGAATTCCTTCTAATCAAATAAGAAAAATGCAGATAAAGCAATAAAGAAATGGTCAGAATATTTCACCACATTGAAAGAGAGGAACTTCAAGTGAATAATGATCACATGATGAACTGTTCAGTAGCGTTAGTCATCAGAAAGAGGCAAATCATAAAGCAATCATATGATACCACTACACATTTACCAGAAAGGCTAAAATTAAAAAGAAGAAAA